TAATTCCTTATTTTTAATAAAAAATTATTTTTGAATTTCTTAACTACTGCACTTAAAAAACTCTAGGTACCGATATTCTTATTTAAAAACAATTAAAAAATAATTTTGTTTAAAATTTTATTATAATTTTGCTCATATATTATATTACAATTTAATATTATATTTCACTTTAAATGAATAATTTTATTTGTAATTGTATTTTATTTGGGTATTTTGAAAATTTTTATTTTTAATAATAATATTTATACTTATTAGTTTGTAAAAAAAAATTAATAAAATATTTGAGTTAACAAATTGGCATTGTGATAAATAAATTGTATTTTATAAATTGAAGTGCATTGATTCACTGTGGAAGTGAGCTTTAAATGCAAAAAGGAGTTGTAATACTGTACTCGGCTTCTCACGTGGGCTAATAATTAATGATTAACAGTTTTGTTAATTTTAAAAGATTAAGTTTAAATATTAAACCCTAGTAAATTTTATTAAAAATATATTTATTATATTAAGATTATAAAAGTGTAATAATTTTTTTTAAATCATAGTATTATTAATCATTTAAATTTAATTCTAAATATTAAGCATGGCATTTTTAATTCTAAATATGTTTGATATTTTAAAAACAAAAGAATAATATTTTATTTATTTAATAGGTAAAATATTACTATAAATTGTAAGAGAATTTAAATCATTCTTTAAAAAAATAAAAATTTGTGTTAGAAAAATAATATTCTAATTGTTTGCCATATAATAAATTTTTAAAAAAATTATTATAAAAATATTTACTATATCAAACATGGTTAACGTTAACTTTTACCATTTAGATTCAAGCATTTAAAAGTATTAAATTTTATTAATTTGAGTGTTTTAGTTTGTTCTTAAATATATTATATTGAAAAATTATAAAGCTTTAATTAATTGTTTACAGTAATAATATTTAATTGAGTGATTATAATTTTTAATAAATACAATTTTATTGAAGAACGTGATTTATCGTAATAATTTAAATAGTTAATGAACTAATTAAAAATATTGAATAGTTCCAAACCGATATGTATTCATAAACATTAAGTTAATTGTCATTAATTGTTTGAGAAATGCTATTATTCTAACCACGATTTTTTTCCTAATAATACACTTTTAATGTTTTGTTAAATTTTATTAAAAATTATAAAATTTTGTAAATTTAACTCTTTCTTATTTTTAATTTAACATTTTTTTATTAAAATTCAGTATTGCTCTCTTATACTTTAATAGTTTCAATAAATTTTAACCAATTAAAAGTATGTTAAATAATATATTATTAACATTTAAAATATATTTTTTGCATATATATTTAATACCGTTATTGTACTCCAAAAAAAGGAGAATATACTAAACAAATTACATAGTGTGATTGTTTGAATACATTTTCATTCTTTTTCTAAATTAATTAAATTAAAATTATTTTTAAAATATTTAATTAAATTTATTTAGTCCTTCACGAGTTGATGAATGCACAATAGACAATCCTAAAAAAGAAATTATTTATAAAAAATACAAAAAACATTTAATCATTATATTATTAACTTGAAAGAATAGGACTGTTGAAGCAGCTGTTAAAGAATAAAAAAATATATATAACTTTGTACTAAATATATTATCAATATATTTTATTTAATTTTTAATATATTTATACAAAAATTTTAATAAAAATATTTTTTATACTTTTTTATTAGTATGTTGGATAAAATAACTAAAATATGTAGTGTATATATATATATAACTTTTTATTTTTCACTCTTCCAACTTTTAAAACCCTATTACATTTATCTCTTTCTCGTCCAAAATTTTAAATATTTTTTTATTAAATTTTATTAAAAGATAACAAATTGATAAGTATTACTTTATATAATAAAAATTTATCAAAATAATAATATAAAATAGTCATATTATTTTATTTAATAAAAATTATTTTAAAATGTGACTAAACTTAAAATTTTATAATTATTTAAAATATATAATTAATAAATTTTTAATTTTGGAAATAAATTTAATGTTGTTCTTATCTGTCATTTATTATTGATTAGCTAATTTAAGACAATAAATTAATGTACTTTTTTATATAATACTTATTTTTGTTAATAAAATACCAATTTTTCTAACATATATCACAGACACATGTTAAAAATTTATTAAAAATAATATTATTTAATGTTATTAATGTATCTAATTATGAGATTTTTTTCATTTTAATAAAAATTTATTATATATAAAATGTTATTATGTTCTCTTAGACATATATTAAAAAATTAAATTAAATTTTTTAATGCGTATCTAATGACAAAAAAAATATTTTTTTATTAAAAATAACATAATTTATTATCTTAAAATGAAAGAACATTAAATATATATGTTTTTATGACAATTTAAAACATTCAATACAGCTTATTTAATAGATTTTACCACAAAAATAAAAAAAATACTTTAAATTTAAAGGGAAAAGAGTATGGGTGAAGGATAAGAAATAAATTAGAAAATAAAATATTTTTATTGAAATTCAAAAGAGGAGAGAAATAGGCCATAGAGCTCAGAATGAGAGGTAAGAGGAGAAAAGGAAAAAAAAAGAAAAATTCACCATATTATATTGTATTTTTATCATTATTTTTAAGAAGAAAAAATGAATAATAATTTTTTTAATAAGATCAACATTTAAAAAAAATTATTTGATACGCTTTTATAAGTTAATAAACTAAAATAAGAAAGAAAAAAATGTGAAGAACCAAATTAAAACAAAACTAAGAATCATGGGATCAATATACAAATTTAATCTATTAAAATTTATAAAAATATAAAAAATTATTAAAAAAAGAATAATTATTATCTTAAAATCATAAAAAATATGTAATGCATATTTTATGATAATTCAAATTATTTAACTAGATATATTTAATTTTTTTAATATATTCTATTGGACACATTAAAAAAGTCTATCATTAAATTAAATGTGACTTCCACATAAATTTTTTTATTTATAATAAATTTTAACCAATAAGAAAGGATATCAAAGAAAATGTTGCTGGTATAGCTTTACATTTATATCATTTTACCAACATGTATTACCACACTCTCAATTAAATTTTGTACCCATAAAATTTTAAAAGATAAGTAATATTTTTTTATCTTCCTAATTTGTATAAAATTAAGTAATAAAAAATTAATAAATCAAAGAGTAATTTTAATATTAAAATTATATTTAATATTATAAATATATTGAAATACATTAATTTTTTAAAAGAATTACTATACATAGATTATTGTTTTATGTAATTTTCTACATGTTAAAAAATTTTACTTTATTTTTCATAATATTAATTATTTAAATTATATTAATAATAATTAAATAGTTAGTTTTGATGCATTGCAAACATAAACAAAAATTATATTATCAACTTATTAGAATATATCACATATGTAACTTTTAAATTATGTTTATTATAAAAAAAAAGATTGTTATAAATACTAATAAACTAAAGTTATTAAAAACTACAGAAAGATAATTACTAAATTAAGAATGAAATTTACATAATTTTTATAATTATTAATAAATTATAATCAATAACTTAGAGTACGTTAAAAAAATATATTCAAAAGTGTATTATTAATATTTATGTATTATGAATAAGAGTAGATTATCTGCTGAATAAAGTATTTGGTATAATCATTTTATTTTATAAATAGAGACGTGTAATATTTTATGATTAAAAATAATTAAAAATTATGCATAAACTATATTTTTTTACCATAATAAATTTATGTCCTTACACATTTCTTGTAATTATTAATTTTTAATTTAATTTTTTTAACTAAAAAATAATAGAATCTATCACTTTGGTCGAGTTTAATATAATTTGTCTAAAGAAGTATAATATACGTATCTTGTGAAGCCACTCTAAAGATACAGCACACAATTATAAGTAAGAAACATGTGATTTGAAAAAAAATAAATCTAAGTTTTATTTTAAAATTTATATTTAAGGATCTTAAATACATGTATATCATTTAATTAAAAAGTTTTTTATATGAATCAATATGATTATACATTATCCGAATTAAAAAGTTCTTTATACTATGTAATATAATCATTTTTTAAAATATTATTTTTAATTAAAATTATTGTAATCTTAATTAGCTTGGTTATTATGGTGCATAATATATATTAATCTTTATAAAGTGAAATTAAAATAATTTTTAAAAAAATTGAAGAATTTTATGTGCAAAAAGTAGAAAAATTAGATTCACTAGGTAAAAAGAGATTTGTTGAATTTTTCGCATAATTAATAAGTAATAGAGTTATTTATTTTATTTATTATTATTTAATATAAAAAATTGTGACCGTTAAGTTTGATAGATTTAACAACTCCTTTAAAAATGAATGGAAGTGTAAAGTAAAAAAGAAAAAAAGTATTTATTCATATTCCATGCTTATTTTATGGTTTCAATATTATTCATAAACTTGTAATTAAATCAGATAATATTGAAACCATAAATGATTTGATTATGAATCAAAACAACAATCCCAACCAAACATAAATGTTTAACAACTGAAGCTATCCATAAATATGAGTAACCTATAGCAACTCGTATACAGCACAAAAGATGATGAAAACTGCTAACTAGCATTTACATGACATGAGAGTAGACCAACTACTGCATCTTTGGCCTAACAGAATGGATCCTATAATATTTATTTTGATTACTTTCAGATCCTAAACATTAAAGTATGTGCTTAAATACTCAAATATCTCATCAATTTTTTGTTTCTTAGATATATTAATGGTGATTTCATTTTCAGAAAACACAGCTGGATATATATGACTACCTTCCGTTACCTTTCTGTAGACTCTTGATCTTCCAATAGATTAAACATCTGCTTCATTGTGGTTGGTTTGTCACTCTGCTTTGAACTCTCTATACGGTTTGTCACTTTGTCTTAAATGTGCTATGTCTTATATTAGTGTCCACTTTTCATCCTCTCTAAGCAACCTCTTGTTTTGCTTCTCTGCCTGGTATGTTTCCTTTACCCCTTTCATCATTTTGCATTCTTCTATTAGGTTCTGGTTATTTGGTAATGTTTCAATTAGAAAGATCAAAACATGGATGCTCATTGAATTTGGGTGCTATATGTTGCTTCTTTTTAGGAATTCAGTGATCATGATAATCTTTTTTGTACCACATGCCAATGCTTTTACTTAAATTTTATGTATAGCAGCTAAAATCGGAGTAGAGATGGGTTGCTTAGCTTTATGAACTTCTAAGGGGCCTGTTTGGTTTCTAAAAATGTTTGATATTTTTACTTTTAATTACAAACCTATCGTTTTGTTTTCATTTTGTTTCCTGCTTTCTAAGACTTGTACAAAAAACAGTGAAATAGAAAACAATTATTTTTAGTATTTTGTGCAAATATTTAAAAACAGGGAAAAGAAAAAAAAGATAAAATTAAAAACATTTTTTGAAACCGAACAGTCTAATGTTTTTCAAGAAAAGTATATAACTCAATGTTACTACCCCTGTTTTTTTTTTTTTTTGACGATTTAGGCTTTGCATAAGAATTAGAGAATAAATTTATATGTATTCAAAATTTCATAAAAAAATATTACTTAAATTTTATTATACCCTTCATCTATTATATTAATTATCTCACTTTTTTAATATCTTCTCTCAAACAAACATTCATGGGTAAAATTATAGAAAAAATATTAATTGCTCATTGAGTTTATAAAATGATAATGAAAAGTAAACAAAACACAATTGGCATGTCAAAGAAAAAAAAATAAGTGGAGAAAGTACTCTTATGTAGGTATTAGGTTTTATTGCAAAAGAGAAAAAAAAATCTTGTGTATGGATTGACAACTGGTGTTTAAATGATAGATTGCATAGTTGCATTAATTCCAAAATGCATCTTATGTATACATGTATATTGTCTTAGTCTCAATCATTAATAATAGTTATCATTCTACGCTTCATTCTCTTTGTTCTGTACTTCAAAGGAGGCAAATGTGAAAGTCATTTAACCGAGTTACAAGTATGGTCCACTAATTTGATACGAATAATATTTTACCTATGTCAATACAATATGAGAAATTATCACATTCCTCAAGGAAAAGTGTCTAGCCTGTTAATTAACCCATGGGTTTATGATGAGATTTACAATCAATAATGGAATGTTCTGTGCAGGTATAAAAATGAGTCCAAAGAAATGGTTTAAGAAGATTGTGAAGCTGAAGAAACCGAAGGAAGATAAATCGAAACAAGAAAAGGTTATTTCTTTGATTTCTTACAATCTATGTAATTTAAATTTAAACATACGTTATGATACTTTGGAAAGGATTCCTCTGCTTATTGCCCGCTTGGAAATTTCAACTCCACTTTCTTCTCCCTGATTAAAATAAGTCTTCAATAAGTTCTACACTTGTACCATTACTTGATGAATTTGGATCCTCTCATGCCATTAACTAACGTGACATGGTTTATGTCAAATAAGAATCCATCATGATTAGTTGTAGGGCCCATTTGATCAAAATTGTGTTTTTCATTTTGATATGATGGTATCATATTATTGAATAAGATAACGAGGATTCAAATCCAACATTACTTCTGAATAGGTGCAATCTGCTGCTGCTGAAAAGTCAGATGAGTTGTCGGAGGAGAAACAAGACACTAATGAAGAGTCAAGTAACATTCCCAATGAAGTTTTGGTGGTAGAAGGGACAGTTCCCACGAGCTTGATCCAAGATATTGCTGCCACTCGGATTCAAAATGCATTTCGTTCATTTCTGGTACATTATTTGTTTTTTAATTCATGTATTGTTATTTGAGCCTTTTGCGTGCATTTTCCTAAGCTCTCTTTTTTCTGTATGGAGGCAAGAAGAACATTGCACCATCTAAGGGGAGCAGTGAAATTTGAGGCTTTGATTCAAGATCACATGGCCAGAGAACAAACAGAGACTGCACTAAACTACATACATTCATGGAGCAGAATACAAGAGCAAATTAGAGCTCGCAGACTATGCATGATAACAGAAGCTAGGATTAAGCAAAAGAAATTGGAAAACCAGTTAAAGCTCGAGGCCAAGATTCATGAACTAGAGGTATTATTACTGTCATCTTACCATGATGGCTTGTTTTGTTATAAGTGCTAAACAAAGTATTAAAATGAAGCTATGTCAGGTGGAATGGTGTGGCGGTTCTGAAACAATGGAAGAGATACTTTCGAGGATGCATCAGCGTGAAGAAGCAGCAATCAAACGAGAGCGAGCCATGGCATATGCTTTCTCTCACCAGGTACAGAACTACTTCTCTAAATTGTTTCAAATTGCACTTTTTCTAACTATGGCCAATTTGGATAAATGAACTCTTTAAAAAGTAAAAAAAAAAAAAAAATCACCATAAAAAATAATAAAATATTTCTTGTAAGTTATAAATAATTTATGTTTTTTTTTTTTCATTCAGCTTTCTAACATTTGAAGTGACAAGTTATTTCTATCTTATGATATAAATTTATTTATTTTTTATACTTTTTTTTTTTGGTTACAAGAACTTACATAGAAATTTACTTTAAACTGGGCCTATGTTTTCATTGCATCCATCATGTGAGATACTGCAGTGGAGGCCCAATTGTAACCAGTATTTGGGCCAGGCTACATACGGGCTTGGCAAGGAAAGCTGGGGCTGGAGCTGGAAGGAAAGGTGGGTTGCAGCCCGTCCTTGGGAAATCCGGGTCCGTTTTCAGGGTCCAGTGGCAAAGAAAATCAATGGCCATCAGCAGAAAACCAAAGTAGACAAAAATGACCACAATGATGGCAAAGTGGCCTCGTCTAAGCCTGAGTTGTCAAATGGCAAGGAGACTGAGAAAGGCAAAGAAAACAGCACTGCAGAGTTGTCAAAGAACAATCTAGCCAAATAAACCACTCTGTCACCTGTATCATCTGTGGCCACAAATCAATTACCTCAGTGTTTGTTGTAAGGCACCTTTTATTCATCCAATTTTGTGTCCTCTATTCCTAACTTAGCATATATGGCATCTGGTGTATACATTAAATTAGGAGACTTCCTAAATTGTAATCTTTATTTGCATGATCCATTAGAAACATGAATTATCTTCCAACTTCCCACTGCTGAGTTTCTTATGGTCGAAGCTTGAGAAATAGTCTATTATCCTCTACATTACAAGGTAAACAATGGCTAATATCTCCACCAAACGTAATTTTATACTTATTATCCACTGATATACAACTGAGGTCAGATAGCTTTGGTTATTAGAAGGATATTCACTTGCCACAATTATTCAAAGATTTACTAAACAAGAGTAAATAACAAAAGATTTTGCCCTCCATGTAATGTTTGGATTCTGGTTTCTTATTTGAAGTAACATAATTAAGCTGCTTTAGCATTTAACTATATGAATATGATTAAACGATTTCAGGCAGTTCAATTTAAGAAATAGGACGGTTGTACTCTATGGGGTAACATATTCATTAAATACTTGTCACCCTTCATACATAGTAACCTGAGTTGTGTGATGTATGATGAGTTGATTTTTGACGAAATCTTAATTATCAACCGACTAGCAGCAGCACCAACGACAGAAAAATAATTGCCACCATCTCAACAGAAGCCAAGGTTGTTTGTATCTTTCATCTTTTTATCTTTTTCATTATCCGGTTGAATTAGAGCATTCCCAATTGAACATTGCAGAAGATCTTTATGAGGTTCTGAGATACCAAGGTAGGGGACCACAGACAGGTGTACAGATATCACACTTTGGTGGCATCCATGAGTGTGAACACTCTCTCATAATTGAGCTTCGTTGTGCTCATCCATCCTCTTCCCTTTTCATGGCTCCCCCTGCAGATGCATTCTACTTTTCCCACTTGTTCATAACTATTAAGTTTTATCCACCCAAAAACCAAGATACCCCCCCCCCCTTCTCTCAAAACAAAGTACCTCATGTTACTGTTACAAGGCTGAAAACAAACAAAAAATCACCTGAAATTTTTGTTCCATAAGGTAACGTGCGGTTGGAAGTTATATGGTGGAAACTGAACTCTTTGCATTAACTAAGTAGGTTGGTGAGTGGGTCACCAAAGATGACTTGGGGGGGTTTTTTCCTTTATCAAGTTAACTTTTTTATTCCTAATCAAGCTTTCAGTCGCTATCATAGCATACTAAACTAGCCGAAGAACTACAAAACATGACATGCGAAAGGAAAAGCAATAAACCACGCTGTATTTAGGATATTGCCCTTTTACCAAGCTCGGAATCAACTCTCACGCAACCCCTTTTCTTTGTGTCAACTGTTTTCTACTGTTCATGGACAGTGACTTCTCAATCAAATGCTCCCAAAATCCAAGCATGAAAGAGATAGGTGTAATGAAGCTGCGCATTTCCTTCCAATTGTTTTTGCAGGATGAGGAAGCTAGCGACTAGTGACGAGTGGATGGTGGTTGCAGTAGAAAGTAGTAAAAAGGGAACAAAACAACAATCATTCTTATGCAAAGAGAACCCCTCTTTCACCTCCTTGAAATATAGGGATCAATTAAAAGCACTCTCTTTTTTCTTTCATTCGAAACAAGACAGCAACATCCATACCTAGCCAAGATCATTCACAAGTTCGATACCCTCACCAAAAAGACACAAAATTCCTATGTCGGCTAATTTGGGTTTGCGCTGTTTTGTCATGGAGAAAATCCCTTATCTGCATCTGGGTCTGCACTGACTTGGAAATATACAAAATATTGAGCATACTAGCTCTTTTATTCAGTGTGCACGTTTTTTTTCAGTCCACTACAAGAAACTAGAAATGAAAGTATAAAGAAGACACAACCACCACAAAGGAAAAACATAGCAATCCAATACAGATGAAACAAAACAAACTAACATAGTACTTAAAACACTAATGAAAGCATTAGAAAACATGAATTAACAGATAAATAGCAGAACAAACCGGGGGATTGGAAAACCTGAACATTCACCTCAGATTTTCTTCATTCCCACGGCATATATAGGCCATTGAAATCAACACATCTGAAATCCAAACCCAACAACTCTTCAACCAAGTTGATTTTGAATTCCCTTTGTAATCTGAAATCTCATCCATCCTAAAATCTTTCGAAAGCAAATTCTCCATTAATCATCTTCAAGTCAACCCACCAACCCTGAAATCATCAAAAAGAAAATAAATTGATGACTGAGAAAAAACAAAGAGGAACCCAATTAAGATTTTTAAACCCATGATTGAATCATGAAGGGAGAACCTGAAGGAGAAGGAAAGTTAGGGTTTTTGACGTGTGTTTTGCATCAATGGCGAGAATCAGAGGAAGCAGAGGACGGCTTGTCAGATACGCCGCCGTGTTCCTCTTCACCCTGAATTCGTGCTGGGATATGGAAGCCGGAGAAGCCACCGGTGCCGGAGAATCCGAGACCGCCGGAGACGGAAGCCTGGTGGATCAACGACGAGAGATAGTTTTGGTGGTGATGGTGGTGGTGGTGATCAGCGACGGCCGCGGCCGTCGCCATTGAAGGGTCTATCCAAGCACGAACCGAAGGAGTGTTACTGGACTGAAGGGGTCCCCTCTGAGAAAGAAACTGGCCATGGCCAAACGCCGGCGCCGGCGAGTTGAACACAAACCCACCGCCATGGCCACTGTTAGCAGCATCTGCAGCATTAGTATTCCAATTCATTGATCTGTGCAAGCGGTGTTCATCCGAGTGATGTTGATGCTGCTGCTCTGACCACCCGGAACCGCCGTCGAAGCCGAGCGCCGCGGCGGTTCCGGAGAATAGCACGGGCTCGTGGTGGGTCTGAGCCTGCTGGTGAAGCAGAACAGGGTCCTGAAAGGACTGCAAAGAGAGCCGCAGATCCTGCTGGGTGGCGCCGCCACCGCTGGCTGTTCGCGACAGCAAATCCGGCGGCGGCGGGTAATTCTGAAACGAGGTGGTGGTGGCCTCCATAGGAAAGAAAGACTTAATTGTCTCGGCAATGTTGTCACTGTCCAAAGACGCTGGCAGAAAACCAGAAGCACTGTTGTATTTGTTACTGTTGTTGTTATTGCCATCATTTTCACCCAATTGTGGCGGAGGAAATTGATGCACAATTCTTTCGGCAACGATAGTTCCAGTAGGAGCTATCATTGAATCGTTCGGGGATTTCTGGTGAACGATTTCATTTATTTGTTGATGTTGCAATGCAGAAGAGCATGTGATGGCGGGGTTCCATGCTGGCAGCTCCGCCAATTCATCGATGGCGGCTTTGGCCTTTTTAATGAGCCAGTCGACGGCCTTGCTGGGGCGGTCGTAGCCAAGGCGGTCTTGCACGTCGTAGAATTGAATGGCGGTGTGTGCGGAGAGGCGCACACGGCGGTCCCTTGGACCTTTGGCGGTGCAAACCTTGCTGTGGCGGTCCTTACGGCCGGTGGAGCGGACAATGTGGCCTCCTTGGACCTCCACAATTTCACCGCCGCCTCTCATCCCCAGTTTGGACGATGTGGATGCAATTGAATGGCGGTGTGTTTCTCCCATCTTTTTTGCATGTTCGGTTGAATGTTGTGGTGGAAGAGGAGGGGGGAAAGAGCGTTTCTTTGATGGCTGTTGGAGTTGGATATGAAAGTTTGGGTCTTGTTGCTGATGATGATGATGATGTTGGAGATTGTGGGATGGTTGAGTAGATTCGAGGTTGTCTCTGTCTTTTCCTCGTTCTTCTTCTGCTGCTGCTGCTACGTGCCTTGGATTTAGGACCAGGTTTTGATGATGTTGGTAATGATGATGCTGATGGTGTTGATGACGAGGGTGATAATTCCTGTGAGGATCCAGACTCAGACCCTTGTTGTTGGGATTTTCTTCTTCCAGCTTTTAATGAAGCAGCGCACTTTTGATTCCTTTCACTCTTCCTCCCCACTCTCTTCTTGTTGGTCGTGCAACTGCCACCACTCTGAATCTTGCGTCTGCTTCTCCCAAAAGTTCCTGCCATTCAATTTTCCCACTTCCATCACCACACCCTAAAACTCACAAACTAAACTAGCCCAAGACTGTTACACTTACACCACCCTAACCCATCTCTTTATCTCCCTCTTTTTCACCCTCTCTCTCTCTCTCTCTCCCTCCACACCACTTTTTTGCCTTTTTGCTAATTGAGTTCCTTTATTCAATATGTACTAACCAAACTGGAACTAAAATACTGTTGGGTTGGTTAATACCCACTTGGCCAAACAACCTTAGGAAACCACCCAACTAGACGAGGTGTCCCCTTGCAAAATTTCTAGCAAATATTTGGTATCTCAAACCACAGGCAGACACAAAAAGCAGAGAGAGAGAGAGAGTGAGAGAGGGAACAGTAAATTAAGGCCATGGGGAAGAGGAATTGATTCTGGCCCTATAGGAGGGCTTGATGATGGCAGTGCTAAAGGTGACAGTGTTTGGTCAGAATGGAGGTGTTAAATATCTGTGATTTCATCACTGCGCTTCTGCTGCTGTTCTTGTACTACACTACACACTCTAACATAATACTGCATAATACAACCAACCTACCCAATTTTCATTCAATCACCAAAACTTTCTTTCAACTTTCACCAATTCACCCTTCTCTTCCTCTTTCTCAATTTGGGTTTATTTTATTTTTTAAAAAATATTATATTTTTACATGTGCTATTTACAAGTTAGTAACTGTTGGTTTTGGATGCTCTTTGAGAGATTGATCCTTTACACAGCTTTTGAAAGGGACATCCTCACAGCTTTTCTGTTCTCTCTCTCTCTCTTTATTGTTTCACTTAAAAGAAATAACAGCGCAACATGGATGCCTAAATTTACCTCTTCACCAAAACCAACTTTCATCTGCTTTGTGAAATTACTGCAGACGCCATCTCCCTTCGCTTTCTTCTCGTGGAGCACTCTCGTGTGTGCCTATGTTTTTGCATGCTTGTCCTTTTCCTTACAAACTTAAATTACTTCTTTGCCCCATTATAAGAATAATTCCTTTTTTTTTTATTTATATATTTCAAATTGATCAAACTATTTTCTCTGCAATTACAGCCTTCTTTACTTGATATAAATTTTAAGCAATGTATAACTTTGATAGATTTATATTTAATTTTTAAAAAAATATATATTTCTTTATTTGAAATTATTTAATTACTATCTATTTAAATGTCTCACATTTTTTTATAATTCTTTTTTATTTAACATTTTTTTATATCTTTCATTCCTCTCTCTGTCTATCTTCATATAAATCATATTCATAATACAAAATATGAAAAAAATGAAATGTGACAAAGAGGATAATTAAATAAAAACATGCTTATTTTAAATATCCATTCGTGTATATGATATTAGGATACATAATATAATAAAATTTAATAACATATGATTGATTAATTAATTAAGATGTCTTCCCCAGCTTTCTTTTCCCTGTAATTTCAACAATAACAATTAGTCCTACTCCAACATTTCATACTCATTTTTTGTGTAATATTAGTATTTAAGACTTAAGTTTTAAAATTTGAGTACGACGAAAAATTAATGATATTGTTGTAGTACCATTAATTGAACAGTTTATGCAGTCATCGCCCTTCAAAATTGAAGGCTTAATCACATTTTTAGAGTTCATATTTTAGTTTAAGAGTAGTTTTAGTCTTTTTAACTATTAATATTTAGTTATTAAATAAATTTTTAAATTATTATATAAATTTAAAATATATAAAAATTAATAATACGTTATATACTTATTATATTTGTATTAGTTATAAAAATTGTGGATAGATTAAAGTATAGGGGGGGAAAAAAAACAATAAAGTGAAGTTGAAACCAATACATTAAAACTCTTATAGTATCCATTTTATTTGCAATAGCACCGCCCAGTAAGATTGAGTTGTTATACATTTTCTTGCATTCTTATTCTCTGCTAAGATGAATTCAAATTCCATACGCATTGTCTTTTGTTGTTATCATATTCTATATATTTTATCTTCACTGAAAAATATTATTTTTTCAGTTATACGAAATTTAACCACTAAATACTTCAAATTATATGCTTCTTACAAATTAATTGATAAATAAGCAAGCTTCAAGAATTTCAGGTGATGAAGAAAAATTAATTAATTAATGCTAACGTATCTTATGTTCCATTTTCTTTAACTTCATCTTTCTGGTGAAAAACCAATTTAGATTGAAATAAATAGAGTTATTATTTAGGGAAGCAAATATAATTTATCCCAATTAAAGCTACTGTGAGGTTCTCTTTGATGTAAAAACCCGTAATTGACGTATGCTTAGTTGTATTCAAATTCTTTTAAATCTTAACTCAATAATTAATTAGTTGAAGGTGAGGCGGGCCATCTTCTTAAACTCAAGATTCAGACCTGCACTGTTGCATTGAATATTTTTTTTATTTTTTTAAATATTTTAAAAAGTTTCGATAAATATTTCTGTTTAAAAATTCTTACTTAAATTATATATAAAATTTAATTACTGATTTTGATCTTTATGATTAATGTGATTTAAAAAAGTGACGTGTGATATAAAAATTATTATACAACAACATATTTAAACTTTAAAAAAAATATAAAAGATGAAATCAAAATCCAATATATTTAAAAAGTAAAGCAAAAAAAGAAGCGAACAAGAAACTAAAGGCAAGGTTTAATTTTCGTGCCGAATTATAGAATTTAAATACGATGAACAAGTGGCTTTTATTATTAACAATGCAGGTTGCATTGGATGATTGGCGATCCACTTCAATCAATGCACATCCAATTCCACGCAATAACAAATGCCATTTATCTTGAGAGATAGTCAACAAATGCTTCATTTTTTTCCACATTATAATTTTGATAAAAGTATGGGACAGCGATGTCTACTATATTCAATATAGATAAAAAAGAAAAAAGAAAAAAAAGAGGCACCTCTTTTCTTAATTTTAGCTTTTTCTTGAAGGAACTTGAAGTGATGGTAATGTAATTAGAATAATTGGTTTAATTGGTTAATCTTTTCCCTTCGTTATTCAAGTGAGGACCATCTACACCTTCATTTAATTTGGTGGCTTGAGAGAAACTTGAGAATTTATTTTACCTTGAGTTTACATATGTTGTGCAACTCATAGACAAAAAGGACCACAATAATTAAATAAACAAAACAGCAACTTAACATGGACCTCTATGTTGCAAAAGGGGAAAAAGGGAACAAAAGCTTTAAGTTCTATTGGAGTTTGAATCCCAGTAATCCACCTAATTTTAGAACTATTATTTTCTTTATGATTCGATGCACAAGTTGATGATGATCATGTTCCTCCAGAAAAAGGACCACTGCTTTTTTGTTTTCAAACACAAATAAAAAAATAGAATGAAGGGGGTGATGCATCCACTTCAACATGTATATATATAAAGGCACCAATTAAGCAAAATGTTAGTTTGAGTGATAAAAAGGAACCAAAAAGAGATGCATGCAAGGTAATGCCTCAGTAGGGGAATATATTTTTCAATTTTAATGTGAACAAGTAAAGCAAATGAACCAAACCTTAGACTGAGGAACTTCTTATGAAGCAAATGGCTGCTGAGAGATGTGGGCTGATATATTCTATTCCCACCAAACAAGTTGGTGAGTTGAAATATCTATCTTTAATCCTTTTGACTGTAGAACTTCATTTTCCACAAACTAGACTTTGTCACTACAACTTGGATGTTTAAATTTGTGTCTGTGTTTATTATATATATAATGAGTTAAGTATGACAAGGCCATGATGAAATCCATCTGGTTATTTTGTACGACGAGGAGGGTGAAATAATCTTACCAGGTATAAAGTACAGGAATTTTGAGCGTGAAGCTAATTCAAGAATAAAGAAAAAGTTAGGGTTGAGTTTAAGTGATACCTTTCTCTAAATTTTTTTATTATTTGTATCTTATTTAGATATTATAATGGAGTTTGAGGGTGTGATCTGAGATCAAATAAGAGAGTGAATTTTAAGTTTACAATAAAATTTAGGTAGAATTTCTTAAACATAGTTACTGTTAATTATTAATCAAAATTATAATCTTATTTCAATAATATGTAAAAATATTAAATATAAATATTTTATTAAATTAAAATTTTAATTTTAATCGATAAACAATAATTACAAAATACTACATGAATTTTGCTTTAAATTTAATTGTCTATTTATACAGAAAATTTTTTATTTTAATGTTAATATTTTATTATATAATATATATCACAAACTTCAAAACTTTAGTATAAGCTTGATCTTCATCCTTGTACTCATTTAGTATCTAAATTGTCATGTTTGCACCTATTACTTGCTGTTTGTTTCTATTTTTAAAAAAATTGATAAAACATAAATATTATTATAAAAGAAAAATATTTGTTAAAAATACTTAAAATAATGTACAAAATTTTAATTACATTGATATGATTATAATATATGTATTTATTTATATTAGTGTGAGTAAATGAATGTAAATACTATGTTACCGGAAACTATACTTGCACCTAAACTTATTTAATAAAGATTTACCCTACTTGATATGGATATTTTTTGTGTGTACGCAATGAATGTAGAACTAATAACT